CCTGTTTCGTTCAAAGGTTCACTCTGAAATTCGACAAAAATACTTGGAAACTTCCATGGATGATGCCGATGCCCGACCACCACCAAAACAGCCGAGATTGGCTGAGTGTTATCAGAAGTACCTAGAAGACGACGAGGACCAGGGTACTATGGAGGATGAGCTGGAACTATATTTGAAAGAACCAATCATTCATTGATGATTCTGATTTGTTTGGCTGGTGGAGGCAGCGGGTAAGTTCAAACATCTCAAATTCTCTACATGCGTCGTTTCAGTTTTAGTCATGTTTTTTAATTTTTCAGCGTGGCGGCTTTGGCGGAACACCTGCTCAATATACCTGCTACAAGCGCATCAGCAGAGCGCGAGTTCAGTGAAGCGGGCCACGTATACCGCGAGAAACGAATTAGCCTCAACCCTTCCACCTCCAGCAACATTTTGTTTGTAAATTCTAACGCGGATCTTGTGAAAAAAAGACGCACCTAGAAAACTAGTCCACTTGTCCATATTTTGTGTTTTGACTTTGTTATTTTTTTATTTGTTTTGTTATACAATTACAGAGACTATATTCGTTAATGTATTTGACAATGCATTAAATGCAGTTAAAATAACTGTTTGTAAATTCTAACGCGGATCTTGTGAAAAAAAGGGGTAGATTCTGGAACGGTGCCACCTACGACCGCGCCCGTTTCAGTAGAGACTACCTAGGGTATATGCTTCACATCGGACGTGGTTGCGACCGCTTGCTCCACCCCGTTCAGAAAGTAAGGCGTAAGTACTCGGAATCAAGGTACTTCGCTCTAGCACGAGTACCGTTCAATTTTTTCGGTCGGGGTTTGCGCCGGAATGTAGCTTGGACCCATAGCTTTCGAATCGCTTTTCGAACGTCTGTATCATTTTATTGCATCACCCCCAAAATGCGAGGGGAACGATCCGAGCAGCGCCCAGCGCGAAAATCCCAGGTCGCTAGCTCAATTCGTTTTCGAGTTATCGTGCGCACAGACAGACACACAGACAGACGCGAAACTGTTTGATCATCACTGGAGTAATAGGCTTCGCTAATCACTCAGCCAATAATCGAACATATAGTGACAGCTATAGCCACGGTGCTCTTCCTTTCCTCGAATTGAGTTTGGGATTTTGTTAGATTCTTGATTTCCTCTCTCAACTCTGTTTCAAGCCGGTCGTAGTGATCCTCTAAAGCCTGAACACATAATCCGACAAGACTTGGTTCACTCAGTAACAAATTTGGAAAAATTAGTCACATAAATATTTCTGAACAGTTGAATACCTGGAACTGGCTGCGGCACATTTCATTTGAACATACATAGAACTGCAATCATTTAGAAGAATTCATATGAAAACAAAAGAAGAAAAAACACAGTTAAAAGTTCATTACAACTTAAATTCATATTGCAAGAGAGTGACATAGAGAACAAACCTCTTCGTGGTTGTAGCTACTGGAATAAACACTGAACTGGTGAGGTACATAGCAGAAACATGCTGCAAGTAGTTATGGGTATTAGGTGTTAACTTTGAGCTACATGGGGCAACACTTCATAGTTAAAAATTGCAAAATTTGAAAGATCCATCCATTAATTTAAATAGAGATACTGTAAAGATTTGTACAATGAAACTAACTTACGAGCATTGTTAAGAGGGGCTATTACTTGAGCAGCAGGTTGAGCAGCTTGCTGTAAGTTATCCATCTTCCCCTTCAGAAAATCAAGGTTAGCTGCATTCAGAAACCATACATAAGGGGATGATCTACCTGATATTCACTGTGTTATTGAAAACAGTGGAACCGCTCGCTTCG